TAGAGATCCATTGAGACTGTACATAGGCACTTTCACTAGGTCCTCTATGCTGTTGGTGAGCTTATAAATAAAATGATAAAGCCTCCATCAACTACCATACATCCAAAGATACTTGGGAGCCACAGATGGAACCCTTACTTGCAGGTAATTACCTGTTCATTTATGTAGCCATTGCACAATGTAGATGTTCTTATCCCACTTACATAATTTTTCTAGGACTGTGTTGGTGCCATTGATGGTACCCATGTATTGGCAAGGGTGTCTAGAAGAATGCAACAAGCATTCAGGGGTAGGAAAACAAACCCCACACAGAATGTCATGGCTGTAGTGGACTTTGACCTCAAGTTCACTTATGTTCTTGCTGGATGGGAGGGGTCAGCACATGATGCCCTCATCCTTGCTGATGCTATTGAGAGAAATGATGATTTTTGTGTCCCACAAGGTAATTCACCTGCCTGTCCACTGCCCTTATGCCCTATACCATGGAAGAACATTCACCCTAGACACTTATTGGTTGAAATGTAGGTAAATTCTATCTTGTAGACGCTGGCTATGCATGCCACAGTGGGTTTCTCCCTCCATACAGGGGGTGAGATACCACCTAACAGAGTTTGGCAGCAGGAACCTACCTACCAATGCAAGGGAGCTGTTTAACCTTAGACACTCTTCACTGAGGGTGTCAGTTGAAAGGGCTTTTGGGGCACTCAAGAACAGGTTTCGCATTTTAGATAATAAGCCTTTTCACCCATACAAGACATAAGTCAAGCTTGTGTTAGCTTGCTGCATTCTTCACAACTAGATCCTAGGATTTGGAGTTGATGCTGTTGTGCCCTCTGAGGACTGGGTTCCACCACACCACAATGACCCTAAACTTGCCAATGACATGCTTTCTCAGGACTCCCAAGCCATGACCACAAAGAGAGATGCCATCTGTGATGCAATGTGGGCTAATAGGGGTACCCATAGGACCTGATTCATGCATGTTGATTCTTTTTTATTACAAGTATGTAAGCTCTGGTATGGTACATTTGGTTGTGTGATGCAAGTGTAATAACTATTGGACATGGCTGAGACCTATGTGCTTTTAATTTGGTTCCATTGTTGTTTTTTGCTACTGCAATTGTTAAATCTTCTTCATCTACTTGAGCTATTGTTAAATCTTCTTCATGTACTTGAGCTATTGTTTCATTGGTAATGCAAATTAGGATGGCTTCAGTTCCTATTGATGTGCATGCTGCTGCTCTTGGTGGGTTTGTGCCAGCTGTTGAAGTGGTTGTTGATGAGGCTAGGGTTGCAGCAGCAGCTGCTGGCTGTTGTTGCTGGTGCACCACCACTACCAGCTGCTGGTCCCATGAGGTGGAATAACAACAACTCTGGGTTTGTGCTTAGGAGGATGGCCCAGCTAGTGAGTGATGGAAGTAGGCCTGATAAGGTTTTCAAGGACAAGGATGTCAACCTAGTGGCCAAACACCTTAAGGAGTATTGTGGTGAGACTGTCAGCCCAACTCAGGTGTACAATCACCTGAGGAAATGGAGGCAGAAGTGGGCAAAAGTGTCTAAGCTCAAGGATCTTAGTGGAGCATTGGGGACAGTGATGTTAATGCAATAATGCTAGAGGGGGAGCACTACCTAGGCCACATCAAGGTAGCGAAACTTAGATGGTTTACTCATCTTTCCCTGTTGTTTGTCTTTGTTCTAGTTAGCTAAGCTGTATACCATTATGCAGGACCACCCTAAGGATGCAGAGTTCCTTAACTATCCTATCAAGTTTTATACTGAGATGGAAGCCATTTTTGGCCATTCAATGGCCACTAGTAGGTTTGCCTTAGGTTCTGGAGAGCCTCTTGGTGCAAACCAAAGTGACAATGTGGCAGCTAAGGCTGAGGGCACTGCCTTCAACAAGCCTTCTGAGGGGAAAACCAACACTGAGGTTGGTGAGGCAGCAAGGCTACTGAGATTCTCACCACTTCTGGGGTGTGTGGGAAGAGAAAGAGGGGGGCTTTCTTTGAAGATGAGTTGCTCTTGCTCTCTAACATGTCAGATGCAGTTAACAATGTTGCAAATGCTCTTAGAGAGACTGGCCCAGCCCATGTTGATGCCAATCTGTACCTTACTATTATGGAGAATCCTAGCTTTTCTAAGGAGGCACTAATTGTGGCCTACACCTACCTGTTGGACAACAAGGCCCAAGGGAGGGGGTTTGTTGGGATGAGTGGTACCCACAGGGACATTTGGCTTAGGAACTTCCTAGCCAAGGACTACTTCATGTAGTTCAGTCACATGTTGGTAAGCATGTGCATTGAGGGGGTTGACTGTTGAGATGTATAGTTCCTCCACCTCCCTCACCCACTCTCTCTTCTTTTGACTACAGCTGGGCATAGTTTACTGTAGGTCTTTTGTGCAGGTTGGATGGCTGACTACACTTGCCTCTTTTTGGTCTATTTCATTGGGAGGGTGGCTAACAATCTAACATGATCATAGGGAACCGTTGAGACCATTTGAGCCCACATCTGTTGGGCAAAACATTATGTTGTAAGACTAAATTTGTAGCCTCTGTTGGCTACATTACTTGAGACCTTATTTGTAGTCTCTGTTGGCTGCAATATTTGAGGCCCTATTTGCTTTTTCATTTACCTTGCTGCTGTGAATTTGCATGACATGTCTATTTTTTCTGCTGGATCTTGTTTCTGCATCTTGGTGGTAAATGTGGGATTTGGAAAAGGCCTATGATGCAAAAATATTTATTGAGGCGGCTGCTTATTTCAGTTGTTGTTGTTCTTTTTTACATGAGTGTAATCACAGCCGTGGGCTACGGCCATTCCCTGCAACACCAACTTGTTTGTTAGGATAATGGCAGTGAATGGATGTGCCCAAGGTTGTCATGCCACCCATGACCTGGGGTTTGCCTCTTATGTTTGCATGTTTTCTCTGTTTCTTCTATTTCCTGCAGCCACCAATGATACAAATAAGTGATTTTTTCCACCAAATTCTAAAGCTGAGGCCACATGATTCATAAATTACCAGGGATGTCATCGCATATTTCATTGTTAACAATTCAATTCATTGTTTTCGTTCTAGTGCTTGCCATGTCTTTCAGGGTGACAATGTGCAACAAGTATGGATGAACTTGTATGGATGAGGATGACATTTGTACAGGATCAAAGGCCGATGATGACAATCTTAGATGATTTCATAGCCGGGTCCTTCTGTCCTTGTTTGTTATGCTGGAACTCCCTGTCTAATGCTCCTGGTTCTTTGGTACTGTGCTTGTTTGTTGCATCCGGCTATGGTTGTGAATGTTTGCGTACTCAAGTTTGAGGCCTGCCGATGAATTCATGTCTTCCTGTAAATCACTGTTACTATTATGGAAGTACAAGTGTTGTTGAGTTCAATTTGTTAGCACTCCTTTGCTCCATATGTGCATCTTGCTGTTCTGTTCCTTGGCCATGCCCGCCACCAAACGCCATCTCCACTTGGCAGTTGATGGTAGTTGGTCACCGAGCCGGGCTGGAAACTGGGAACCAAACACAATCTCCACTTGGGCCGTGTCGGATTGGTACAGCAACCAAACACAAAGGGGTGGCCCAAGGTGATCTGATGATGGTTGGCCACGGCCAGGGCGCTGGGCCGAGCGGCCACAGCCACTTTTCCAAACACGCCCTTGGGTTCTCGTCCTCCATTCCAATCCTCCCCGGGGTTCGGAGACTTGGACTACCTCTTCGGCTTGGCGGGTGTCATAGATAGCGTGATGTGTCGTGTGCGCGCAAGCGCAGGCATGCGTATGCATCTCATCTGTGGGTGCGGAAGGCTCTCCACCTCAGGTTGCAAACATCTCGTGGAGATATTGGGCAACAGTATGCAACAAAATTTTACAGTCAATATTCCAAGGTAACTCATCTTTCAACGACAAACATTTATATATATAAAAGCAATACACGGGCGAGGGAAGCGGAATCTTTTCATGGAAACGGCTACCTGTACAAAGTAGGTACAGGAGTAGATCTCAACAGCTCAAGTTACTCTTTCCATTCGGCCAATGAGGAGTGCCGGCAAAGCAGATTCAACGATGAACTTCTCATTTCACTTTTTCTTTTTATTGAATCGATATAACTTGAGAAACAAAAAAGTACAAGAACTCACCAGAGAGTCAAGAGCAAGGCCTATTAGATAGAATCCATTTGGGTGCTCATATAACGTGCTACAAGTTTTAGGATGACCTTAGCAGCTGCTACGTAAAGTCTCACATCAATTCACAGTAGAGCAAATATGTAGATAAAGAACAACTTAACTCTTCTAAATCTCTACAAATTAAATCAAGTCTCAATTCCAAACACTAGCACATACTGAAAGTAAGGAATCCACGTTACTAAAAAAAAGGGTAAAGAATCTACGGATTACATCGAAACTGAAGCAGCATATTCAAGCAGCAAGTAACCATGACATTCAAAATTGGTCCAATAGTAGAGTACTAAAGAGAATACTAAACAAGTATACCATCTTTGCATCGTTGTCGTTGTATCAGTAATGTTTTGTTGGATGAGGTTGAGCATCACAATTTATTCACAATTTTGGTTTAAACCGGAAATGGAATAAACTAAACCAATTTTTTCGGATATTTAGGTTCGGTTTTTACTTGTTGGTAAATTATTTTGGCTTCTATTTTTCAGAAACCAAAATTTTCAGAAACCTTTAAACTCATTGCCTAGCCATATAGACCGCACGATGATTGGCACCCCTGGCCCCACCCAGGTGGAGTCGCGAGGTCCACTCCATGATGCCAGATCCCCTTTCCACTCCATGTTATCCGTCCAACGAGGGGAAAAAAGAAAAATCACGAGCTCGACCGAGAAATTCCCCTCCATTTTCCTGGCTCAGCCCAGTTCCCTCCCTCCTCGTCTCCTCTCGTGGGGGACGGCACACAACAACCCGCAGCCACTCACCGTCACCGGCGAGGCGATCGACGCGGCCGCGCACGGCACAGTCACGCACGCAGGCGCCCAATGGCTGCGTCACTCCGCTCGCCGCCTCCGCTCCCCGCCGCCTTCCGCCGCTCCCGCGCCGTCGTCCGCGCCTCCTCCTCCTCCTCCTCCTCCTCGTCATCATCCGCCGTCTCGTCGTCATCGTCCGCCCCCAAGGCGCGGTTCGTCGCCCGCCGCTCCGAGTCCATCCCCGTCCAGCAGCTGGCCCGCCCGCTCGGTACCCGGAGCCTTCCCCCCTCCCGAGCTCTCCCCAGACTTCATGGTCTCTACTTGCTCGCTGGTTGAGGGGTCGCTTGAGATGCATGTCTGTTTGCCTCCTGCAGCGGAGTACATGAGCTTGCCGGCCAGCCAGTACTCGGTACTGGACGCCGAGCGCATCGAGCGCGTCGACGACTCCACCTTCCGGTGCTACGTGTACCGCCTCCGCTTCTTCGCGCTTGAGGTCTGCCCCGTCCTCCTCGTCCGCGTCGATGAGGAACCCGACGGCTGTTGCATTCGCCTCCTCTCCTGCAAGGTACCTTTCGCCATACAAACTTCAGGCTTCAGTAATGGCGGCAGTTGTTTATTTTCTGAGCAGCGATTAGCCGATTAGTGTCTCGCTGATATGGTTATTTGGTTTGGTTTGCAGCTGGAGGGGTCACCGCTCGTGGAGGCCCAAAATGATAAATTCTCAGGTAAGGTTCGTTGTTCTCACTAGATACTTGCCTGATTGCTGATTCTTGTTAATCACTGGCTCAGTCGATGGATTCTAAATAATATTACCTAATCAATGCTCAAAGAAGCTGAAAACGCTTATCATTGACATGTCACATAAAGCGGCTGATGCTAAACCGCCGAGTATCATTCCCACAGTGGTATTGCCAAACTTCTCACACGCACATGCAATGGAACGCTTTTGATTTCTGTTGCTTGTAATGGCTAATCCCATGTTGTGATGCTTACAGCCTTTGATTTATGTTTCTATTAATGGTCAACCATCACTGCTGTGATCACAACTTGGTTGATGCACTAAAACTTAAAAAAATTTAAAAGAATATCCCTCTTCTTCCAACTGCAACAAACATGTAAGGTCCTATAAAATTGGTGTTCTGTTTTGGCTTAAAAAGCGTCATTCTACTATGACATAGTCTTTGGTCACCTAACCAATGGGCCCACCAAATTAAAGTTTAACCATTCTGCATAAGCATTTTTTGAAAGAAACCATTCCACATAAGCATGAGGGACCCTTTTCTGCTATTTGTGTGATTCTATGCTCTGTTTATTTGAGAAGGGATAAAAATCAAACATAATACGTTGGCATATCCTCATAGGTGTCAACTAACTCGTTGACAATCTTATTCTTAGATCCTATTTAGTTTTTGCTGAACTTCTTTGACTTAATAATTTCTTGGAAAGTTTGTATGGTTCTGATAGACAAAGAAAGGCAAATATTTAGTGGCATAATTGCAGATTTTCATAGTCGACCTATATTAGCTTATCCAGCAAAGTTTAATACATCTAATCCATAGTGGTTTCTTTCCATATATAAATAAACTATTTAACCCTGGTTCCAGGATATCATTGACTTGATTTGCTGTGGGATGCAGCTTCCATGGCGAATAGGGTTTTCTGCAGCAGCAGGTCGCAAGATTCGACCATTCAACAGCTTACATCAGATACTACAATAGAGGTAGGCACTCTCAAGCTCCCAGCTTGCATAGTTTAATCATCATTGATTTGAACACAATAATCAGCTTATTTTGATAATCTTCAGGTTGCAATCGATATACCTTTTCCATTTCGAGCAATACCAGTTGAAGCCATTGAATCAAGTGGCAGGCAAGTGCTTGAACAGTTACTCAGAGTCATGCTTCCAAGATTTCTAAAGCAGGTTGGTTTAATTTTATTTGACGTGCCATAGCTACTTTTTGATTAACATTTTCTTCAGTTCAGTCTTCACTCTTTCTTCCAAGCTGCAGTACATGTTTCTTTCGGATTACAACTCTAGAAGAATTTGTGTTAGAGCAGTAAGGAATGAGTTGGTTTGTAAGATAAAATCCTGATATAGGAATCTGAGATGAAATTATATTTCTAGAATTACCTCTCACTTTATTGTAAAAAGGGCGTACCCAGTGCAGAGAGCTCCCGCTCTGTGCGGGGTCTGAGGAAGGGTGTTAGTGGCAAGCCTTACCCTTGTAAATCGAACAATTCTCCATTTTTTTTTTAAAGACTCCAATTAAACCAAGGTTGCTCTATTTTACCTATAGCATTTGTTCATGCCACATTTATCTATTTTTACTGGCCAATCAATGATTCAGTTTTCAGTTCTGCTTGCTATCTAATACATGATGAACTAGATGACCTAAAAAGAAGAGCCATATATGGGGAAAGATATGTTTAATTGCCAGATGGAACTACGTTGAGTCTAGGGATGGTCGTGACTCATGAGCAACTTTTCCATATTTGTCTTTAAATTTATATATTTTTATTCAAATGATTTCCTTTTTCGTTGTTTCAGCTTGTTAAAGACTACCACGCTTGGGCTTCTGGTGATGCTTCAAGGAAACCACTTGGCAATGGGGAAATCTGAAGCTGCCCAGGGGCTCCACTAGGCATGATAGTTTATTCGTTGAATTCAGTTATCACCCCCTTATTTGTATAGCAACCCTGCCCAAACGTTATCCACTTCACTCATGGCAGTTCTTGAACTTGTTGAAATTAGCCAAGCCACTTTTGGTTCCAGTTCTTCAGCAGTCTTGGTCTGAAGATGGCTGATCGAGCACTCACACTGAAGATTACAGTATCTGAACTGGCATTTGCGCCCGCATTTGCACTCACACTGAAGATTACAGTATCTGAAGACTGCATATACTCCATATGTGAAGTTATATCTTTTGTAAGGAAACTAGTTACTGTAACTAGTAACCTGAAGGAGGGAAGTATAAACTGGAACGGTTTATGAACACTGTTGTCCTCTATGATGGTTGTATGGTACTTTGATCTGGGGCACGGTGTTGCCTCCATCAGCCATTTGCAGTTGAAGAAACGCTGTCTCCTAAAACGACGCTAATACTCCTGCGTAGGCTGTACATTTCATTTAGTTATGGTTATGGATCAAGTTGCATTTGATACGAGGAATATAATGGGAGAGATGGACCAGTTTATTTTGTGAGCTTTAAGCACGCAAGTAACATGTTCTTGAAGTTAAAGAGTGAGCTACAATTTCTGTCAATGATGTTTAAGGATACGACACCATTGTACACCTGATGATTTACCACACTAGGCTATTGTTTATTCGCAATTGTGGTTTCTGTGTTACAGGTTTCCAATAGCTAATTGCCAGAATGCCAGTTGTCAGCAAGTCTTGTCAGAACTCTAAAGTTCAAAAATAAAAATAAAAAACTTAGGTCTCCAATAGCTAATGCAACCAAAACCAAGTACTCACTCCGTGCTAAAAGAAGCGTCGCTATGGTTGTCAAACTTTTTTTAAATTTGACTAAATTTATAAAAATATTAGCAACATATATACCCTCAAATAAGTTTATTATAAAAATAAATTTAACGATTTGTCTAATAATACTAAAATGATATGTTACGGGCGTCCATCACATGACTCCTGTCCGGACGCTGGCTCGTCCTCAATTCCTCATCCACTCATCCGCGTACCCCGCCCACTCCGCGTGCCTCCTCGCCCGGACTGGCTCCTCCTATCGCGGCCGCGCTCCATCTGCCTGCCACGGCCACTACCGAGGTCCATGCCGCCGACGAGCTCTGCACCGGCGACCTGCACGTACTCTATGGCATCGAGCACCACAACGACAAGCTCTATTTGTCCAAGCAGCAAGGTGACATTGCGTTGAAAGCGCATGTTGCAAGCGTATTATAACACCCCTATTGTTATGAGCTCATTTAGCACTAAGATTTAGGCCTAAGAAAACCACCGAAACGAGTTTATCAGATTTTTGATTTAAAAACACACTTAAAATGATATACAAATCTTATGTGGCTCACTTCTCTGAGAGAGATAGTCAAATAAATATAGTGAGTTAGTTTACTTAAATGCATATATGTGTTAATGAAAAATCCTAACGCGGAGAGCAGAATTAATTTTAAACATTGGCACGGAAGCAATTTTTATAAACAAAAATCAAATATAACTTGTATGTAGTACTTGAATAAAGTTAGAGTATAAGTGCAGTAGATGGAAATGCAATATTAATTTTTGGAGAATACAAACTATTAGTTAGTATTTTGGGAGTTTAAAAAATCAAACTTGAAATTTAGAAGGGTCATTTTCGTTGCCAACAAGCATTTGAGCTTATGTTTAAAAGTATCATTCTTTGACAAATTATATTAGACAAACTAATTAGGAAGTGCTTAGATATTATATTTCTAAGAGTTAGTATGTAGTATGGGCTTGGTCATGGTACAATTGTTAGTTGAATGCGGTAAGGTTTAGACCCTTTAAAAATTACGACAAAAACGCTAAAGGTTGTTAGTTCTAACCAAGCATTTACTCTGTCCAAGTCGGAAAAGAATTGTAGGCAATGCTATTTTGGCATTTAAAATTCAACAAAAATGATTAATCAATACATCCATGTTTTTATACAATTGGTTGCATCAAGATGAACACTTGGGCATGGTGTAGGTTATAGTCATGTTGGTTGTCACGTGGAACTTGTAAAAATTGCCCAAAACCCCTTAGAATGCGTGACAGATCATGTTTCGGGGCTTTGTTCGCGAACTAGCGTCCAACGCGACTAACCTGTTTTGGCGTCCCACTATCTTCCTCTCTGGTCATCCTCTAGTTGTATGGATTGCTCCTATAGCTAGCCGTTAATGTTGACTTTGGGGTCATGGAATTAGTTGAGCCTTCGCTGAATCGATGAGTAGTTTTTATGCCGCTTTAATAATCGTGCTTGGCACCGCTTTGGCCGTTGGCCCTGTAGGCGCGGTCACCGTGCGCAGGTGTGTAGCGTGTGCCGGGCTTGGTCCATGGTCGACCGTGGCCTCTCCCTGCGGGCCAGCTCGTGTGTAGCTGCCGCGTGCCAACTAATGCCGCGGCGTGTCTCTCGCCTCTCCTTGCCTCTTGCTGGCCAACCCGCGCCATACCGCTAGGCCACGCGTAGGTCCGGGCTGACGCCACGGCGGCCACCGTCTAGCCGACGTGGCGTGTGTCTCAGCTGCACATTTCACCTACCCGCCCTCCGATTCATCTAATGTGTGCCAGTGCCGCTGTCGCCGCATCGTGGCCATCCGGTCCTGGTCGCAGTGCCGAGGTGATGCTCCTCTGCCTTGCTTGTCCCACTCGACGATGCTTGCGGGCCTGCTCGGATCTCGCCGCTTCTAGCCATGTGCACCACGCCAAGCTCTTCCCTGCCTCGTTAGTTGGGAGCACGTGCTTGTACCACTCCATTTTAACCCGCTTGGCCCGTCGTGTGTCTCTCTGCGACATGGCAGCAGCAGGGGCACCTGAAAGTGCATCTAGCCCTTTAGTGAGTTTTGGATGATTGAATGACAACACGATTAAAGGACTAACATATTTGCTAAGTGTTAGACAGGAAATTGATTATCTCACAAATACTTGATGCAATTGTATAAAGCCAAAATGATGTATTGTTGTATAAACAATCTAATTCAAGCACAAGACAACAATGCAAATGGAATTCATGCAAAGGCTTATTTATTGTGGGATTTCAATGATCTATGTGAAAGCAAGCACGATAAGAGTTAATTAATGAGACATGAGGGATTGCATATGGAATGGTCTCATATTTGAAGCTTGCTAAATTGAAATAAAAAAGGCAACAATACAAATGAATGGTTGATTTAATACAAGATGTGACTTGGCGGCTTGAGATGGTGAAGATAGCAAGAAAAAGGCTTCGAGGTACTAAGTAAGGATGAAGGGCAAGCGACGGCTTGATGGACGAGGAACCTAGATAGGGTGAAGAAGAAAGTACTTGCATTTAGTCGAGGTACTAATCAAGCTATGATGGTCATATTGTTGTGGAGGATCAAATCTATATTGGACAAGTTGATTAAAGTGACTTGATGCATTTGTAGTTATTCATATTTGATGAATGGAATCAAGTCACGTGCTCAAGATGGCTATGCTCAAGTGACAAGATCAATATTGACATGTTGGCACCATCACTTGATAAAGATTGAAAGACACGGCATCAATTTAAAGAAGATCAACTCAAAAGGTTTAATTTCGTTTTTCTTTAGATCTTGAGTTAATAGGTATGCCGTACTATTAAGAGGGATACAAGTTTAGGTGGTCTGAGGAAGATAGAGTGCTCAAGCATAATAATTAAATTAAAAGAGAGACACTCTAACACTTCACGAGCACATAGAATAATTTTCTGTGACTGCCGGTGTCGGAAGTCCTGACGTAAGCTAGAACTCCCGACAGTCGGAAGTCATGACTCTTGTCGGAAGTGCTGACTCCCAGTCACAGCCTGCGCGGTGACTGTGGATGTCAGAAGTCCCAATGTGAGTCGGAATTCCCGACAGTCGGAAGTCCCGACCCAAGCCGGGAGTCCCGGCATCGATGGTTCTACTGACCTGCTGACTGTGCCCGTTGGAAGTCCCGACGTTCGTCGGAAGTTCCGACCGTCGGAAGTCCCGACCCATGTCGGGAGTTCTGATGTTGGCTGTCTCAAGTGGACTTTGACCTCGCGTGAACAGTGTTTTCTTCATACGTCGGAAGTCCCGAGATCTACGTCGGAACTTCCGACGTAGATCTGAACGGTTAGATTTTGCCTTGGAGTATATATACCCCTCTCCTCCCTTCTAACCATCGCCCACTCATTTCATTGCGATGAACACTCGGCCAAAACAGTCCCCAAGCATTCTAGGCTCGCCACTCTTCTCTCCTTTGCTTCCAACTTCGATTCCCAAAGGGTTTGAGTGTTTGGAGAGTGGATTGAGTGAGAAAATCGCTTTGAGCAAGCTTGAGCACTTGATTTCTTCATCAAGCCGGTTTGATTTGCATTTGTTACTCTTGGGGATTTTCCCCTAGCCGGCTAGGCGTCGCCCAAGAGCTTCCATCTTGTGGAAGAGCCTTGGGAAGTTTGTATTACCCTTGATTTCTAGTGAAGAAACTCAAGTGACCTTTGTGGTATCCTTGAGTGAGGTAAGGAGGTGGAAGAGACTCCGACCAAAGCGGTCACCTCAACAATGAGGACGTAGGAGCTCCTTTGTGGGGCTGCCGAACCTCGGGATAAATTCTTGTCTCCTGCGTGCTTAGTTGTTGTTGTGATTTGCTCGAAATTACATGTATTTGGTTGTCTCCCTCTCTCTAGCTATTTCTTAGGGTTTGAGACTCAATCTACGGAGTGGTGGCTTATCAACGTCAAGAGAGTGACCCAACACCTTACCTTACCACTAGGAAGTGGGTTTGTAAGTTATCGGCATCACAAAGTTCATTTTAGCACTTGTAGTTCATTTCCCATAGGGGTCGAAAGTGCTGACAATTTGCGTCGGAAGTTCTGACCCAAACTATCGGGACTTCTGACACGTCGGAAGTTCTGACCCAAACATCGGGACTTCTGACACGTCGGAAGTTCTGACCCAAACTATCAG